CCCAATATCCTTCTCTCTATAATATTGTTCAGCGAAGAGATGCTTACGTTGCAACAGTAATACAGTCTAATCCTCTTAATATTCAATTCAAGAGGACGCTAGTGGGAAACCGTTGGGAAGCTTGGCTCCATCTTGTGAGAAGGTTGATGGATGTCCAACTTTCTCAACAGCTAGATCAGTTACGCTGGAGACTAGCTAAGAATGGAGAGTTTTCGGTTAAATCCATGTATTTGGATATTATCAATGCTAGCGTTATTCCTAGTTCGAAACATGTGTGGAAAGTCAAAATGCCTTTAAAAATCAAAGTGTTTATGTGGTTTGTCCACAAATAGGTCATCCTAACTAAGGACAATTTGGCGAAGCGCAACTGGACTGGATCTAAAAGATGCAGTTTTTGTGATAGTGATGAATCAATCAAACACCTCTTTCTTGACTGCCCTTTGGCAAAGATTTTGTGGAGGTCGGTCCACATAGCTTTTAATATAACTCCTCCGAATTCCATCAACACGTTATTTGGGACGTGGCTAGATGGGATAGACGCAGAAACAACGAAGCATATCCGTGTAGGAGTATGTGCTTTATGGGCAGTTTGGAACTGCAGAAATGACTTGGTTTTTAACAGAACAACAAATATTCATTTCCTGCAGGTTGTCTTCAGGGGCACTACGCTCATCCGTATGTGGTCGCTACTCACTCCGACGGAGGCCAGGGATCATTTGGTTACTGGATCTATCCGATGGGAGACGGTAGCACGGGCTATCTTCAACCGGTTTGGATTGCGGTCATGTAATAGGATAGGTGTTTAGTTTTCTATCTGTTGTCTTTCCTGCCGGTTGTGGTTGTCCTGTTTTTTTTGCTTTCGTATTCTTTTTGAGCATTTGTTCCTTTTTGTTTGAGACTTCGATACCTATGTTGGACCTTTTGATATCAATAATTTGGCCGTATGCATCTTTCTGATGCAGAGGCCGGGGCAAACTCCTTTTTTATAAAAAGCATACACATGACAAGATAGCATGCGCAGGACAATTGACTTTATGCAAACCTTAGCAAATTAATATGGGATTTAATTCTTAGCATGATTCAGCTATACATGCATCACCAAACTGAAATGTATATATTCACCTTCATCTAATTTGTGTGTTTTCTTTCACTAACCATCATTCTTTTTTTATAGAGTAACTAGAGACATAAATTAGATGCTTATAGTCTGATTCAAACGGAGGTGAAGATAGATAAGACATCACGCAAGGAGGGCTAACAAAACAAAGTACTTGATTAGTACCTGGTGGCAACACATGCAACCGAAAGAGCAGCACAGTAGTGAAGGACAACAATGACAGAAGGTGAAAAGGCGGATGGTGGAGCGGCGTTTCTGCTCCCGGGCTCAGATGAGCCCGGGCAAAAAAAAATATTAAAAATTAAAAAAATTCAAAAAAATCCTGATTTTTTTTGCAAGCAAGATGCTCATGTGCCTGATGTTCATACAAAAATTGGCGGAGTTTGGACATTCGAGGAGCGCGCGACAAAAAAGAGAAAATTCGGCTATGTGGGTAAGGTTACTGTTCACGCATTGTTTGGACCGATTTTCTCTTTTTTGGCACGAGCTCCTCAGATGTACAAACGGGATGAAATTTTGCAGGGACATAACGCAGAGAACATCTTCCATACAAAAAAATTCAGATTTTTTTGGAATTTTTCTAGTATCTTTTTTGAATTTACTATAGCTAAGGAGCAGATGAGCCCATACACCGAGTTGGATTTTCGCGGATGGTGGGGTTACTCTAGCATATGAGTGTGTGTGTGTGTGTGTGTGTGTGTGTGTGTGTGTGAGAGAGAGAGAGAGAGAGAGAGAGAGAGAGAAAAGGGTAGAAAGGTACACACTAAAGAGATGGTGGTATTTATAGTTGGGTGAATGGCTATGTCGGTTTGGGAAGGGAGTACATGTGGCCTGCATGCGTGGTTTGGCTCGCATGCATGCCTCCACTTGTCTCTTTGTGAGATGTACTAGAACAAGTGTAATTTTCTTGGCTGGCCATTAGAGCATCTCCAGCCGTGGGCCCCCCAGGCCGCCTTTTGGAGCTAAAATAGTGCCGCTTGGGGGGTGCCGACGCTAAATTTCGGCGTGGGGGCACCAGTTCCCAGCCGTGCCCCCAACTTCGTCACCCCAGCCGGCGATTTTCAGCAATAAAATTGACACAAATGTACATAAAACATATTTTTTGTCACATAGTTCTTCATAAAAATCAATACAAAGCAAATATTCAACAAAGCAAGCTCGTAATTTAACAAGTTTTGAACATAAATTAAAACACATCAAACTAGACGTTGTCCTTGAGCCTCCACAAGTGTTCCACCAGATCGTGTTGCAGTTCGTGATGCACCTGTGGGTCTCAGATCTCTTGACGCATAGCGAGGAAGGCAGCCCATGGTGCCGGCGCCTGGTGATCAACAGCTGCAAGAGGACCCTGCCTGAAATATGGTTCAGTGTCAATCACTAGCTCCTCCCGCTCCCTCTCAATGATCATGTTGTGCAAGATCACACAGACATTCATCACTTCCCACATATGAGATTTCAACCAGGTTAGAGTGGGGTACCGGACAATAGCAAATCGAGCTTGGAGCACACCAAGTGCCCGCTCGACATCCTTCCTGCAAGCCTCCTAGCACTGAGCAGACCAAGATTTTTTGCCTACAACGGGGTTTGAGATAGTCTTAACAAATGTTGACCATCTTGGATAGATACCATCTGTCAGGTAGTATCCCTTGTTGTAGTGGCGCCCATTGATCTCGAAGTTCACGGGGAAGCATGACCTTCAACAAGCTTGGCGAGGACATTCGAGCACTGCAGGACGTTCATGTCATTATGAGTTCCTTCTATGCCAAAGAAGGAGTGCCAAATCCAGAGGTCATGTGTAGCCACTGCCTCAAGCATCACACTGCAAGCTCCCTTCGTGCCTTTGTACATCCCCTGTCATGCAAATTGACAGTTCTTTCATGCCCAATGCATGCAGTCAATGCTTCCAAGCACCCCAGGGAATCCTCTTGCTTCATTCATGGCTAGGATTCAAGCAGTGTCTTCAGCATTGGGTGATCGCAAGTATTTTGGTCCAAACACTGTCACCACTACCCTGCAAAATTTGTACACACACTCAATGGCGATGGACTCAGCCATGCGTAGATAGTCATCCTGTGTATCACCGGGAGCTCCATATGCAAGCATCCTCATAGCAAGCGTGCACTTCTAGAGTGAGGAAAATCCTACCATGCCAGTGCAATCCTTCTTGCAAATGAAGTAGCTGTCGAACTCCCGGATGGCATGCACAATCTTGAGGAAGAGCTTCCAGTTCATCCTGAAACGGCGTCGAAATACTGTCTCGCCATGTAATGGATCATCAGTGAAGTAATCGGCGTAGAGCATGCAGTAGCCCTCCATCCGCTGCCTTGTCTTGCTCTTGCGGCGCCCTGGCGCCGAGCCACCTCGTCGCGGCTTTGCATTCCGCGCGAACAGGCCGTCCAGAGAGGCAAGGATCATCAAGTGCTCTTCCTCGTCGGCGGCAACCTAGGCTTCGTCTTCCATTAGAGCCGCGAACATCTCCTCGTCATCGTAGTCCATGGCCGAAAAGGAAAATCGCCGAACACCTCCTGGGCGTGGTGGTCGGGAAGCTTCCTGCGACGCCGAGCCACCGTGAAATCTCGGCCAGTAGGGAGGTGGAGGTTGGCACGGCGAAGGCTTTCCTTTCTGGCGGCGGAGCTGCACTTTCTAGTGGCAGGTTTGCGGCGGAGGGCAGAGGAGTGCTGCCGGCAGCGACATGGCGGCGAAGGCGATACTTTGTCGCGCGAGAGGGTTGCTGGCTCGCCGACAGAGCTGGGTCACGCGCCTTTTCCTTTGGCCGAAGCCCCCAACCGCCCCACGGTGCGCTGGGTTCGGCCTGGGAACGCCGGCTGAAATTTATGCCCAATCCGGCAAAAATTGGGTCCCTGGGGGCGCGACTGGGAGAAAATCCAAGCACCGGCGGAAGGAAAGTGGTCCTGGGTGCGCGACTGGGAGAAAATCCAAGCACCGGCGGAACGAAAGTGGTCCCGGGGGGGGGGCACTAGGGGGGAGGGCTGGATATGCTCTTAGTTGGCATTCACTTTGTGTGTAAGAAAATGAGAATAACGGCTCAATTGTAAATTTTCAAACTATATGAAGGTTAAGAGAACAAATGTTGTACATGGCTAAATACTATTTGCTGAAATAAAAATTAAATGTCAGATGTTGCTATTATTTTAATTAATGTTTTGTGCCACGAGTAACGCTGTTGGAAATTATCCTTATCTAATTTTTATGGTTTTTACATTAGTCGCAAGTTTTCCAAACAAAAGAAAAAGTCAAATAGGGTTTCATGTAACTGAATCAGTGTTGGGCAGGCCAGGTGATTTTAACTGTCTGAATTCTGGGCCGTTGGATGACTAGGTGAAAAGGTATGCACAAACATTGACCGTTAGATGCCAAATCTTCGCCTTCGTGAGTTGAAACCGTTTGACCCGTACACTTAACTGAAAAACAGAAACAGATGCCCAGTACAGTTAAGTGGAGAACAGATGACTGCTACCAATATTTTTTTTGTGCCGCAACTGATACCAATATTGAAGAACTGGAATTGGATTTGGTTTAATTGAGCGCTGATCAATGGCTTTGTTGTTTTCGAACCAAATCTTCAAAAAGTAGGTTTCATTCATTCCTCCATCCATCACTGTTAGAGCGACATGATGCTGCAAACTAGTCTCATACTCTGCTAGTGGGTTTGTTCGTTTGATCAGTTGATGTCTTATTTCTCTTGTCGCTTTGTGTTATGTTTCGTGTTTGCAGCAAGGAAAGAACAGATCAACCGGAGAGCATCGGTGGTGCCGAAATAGGACGATCTAGTACAAGATATGTCCATATGCATGGCCGGTTTTATTTAGTTCAAAAGCATCGCTACACCATCGCACAAAATTTAGCCCTACAGCATCCATACTTAGCCACCACCGGACCCATACTTCTTGCCAAAGACGACCACCTGGAGCTTGTCATACACCGCAAGGACACCAGCACCCGCAACAGCGCGAAGGATGTTGGCGCCGGCACCCTTGAAGAGGGACTTGGGGCCCTCCTCGGCGATGATCTTCTTGAAAGCATCCATTGAGTTCTTATACTTCACGGACTCACCGGATGTCATCATCATACGGCGGCGCACGGTATCAATAGGATACGAGGCAAGCCCAGCACCCATCGTTACACCCCAGCCAAGGAGGAAACTGGCAAGCAAGTTGTCCTGCAGAATATGCATAGTGAAGAAATATGATATCAGTGAAAAATGTAGAGTGAAGTATATGATATGATCACTGCAACTGCAAGCAGTTCTAATGCAATGTAGTGTACCATAGAAAGAACACGCCAAGGAATTTACAGGAAAAAAAAAGGTATGGTTACTAACCTCAAGAGAACCAACGAGAACCGCCGGCTTGAGAGAGTCGTACATTCCGAAGTAAAGACCTCGATAAACGATGATGCCCACACAAGACACGTTGAACCCACGGTACAAGCCACGGACACCGTCGCTAGCGAGGGTCTTGCGATAGACATCTACGATGCCGTCGAACTGCCTCTGGCCACCCACCTTTGCAGCCTTGGCATCATTGGCAAGACGAGTACGAGCGTAATCCAGAGAATACACAAACAACAGAGAAGAAGCACCGGCTGCTCCTCCAGAAGCTATGTTGCCGAAGAACCACTTCCAGTACCCATCCTTGTCCTTTTTAAAGTTGAACATTCGCTTAAAATGGTCCTTGAAGGCAAAGTTTAAGGCCTGAAGCAATGGTGGAAATCATTCAGTCCATTTTCATGAAAAGAAAAATGCAAAAAAGAAACTAAGGGTAGGATGTATAGGATGCAGCACCTGAGTCGGGAAGTAACGGATAACATTGGCCGTGTTTCCCCTCCAGAGTGCAACCACACCCTCATCTTTTACTGTGCGGGTGAAGCAATCGCCGATACTTTTGTAAGGATGAGAAAGCCTACCACTCTTGATCATTTCATCTTGGTTCTGAATCAAGAGCTTAACACGCTCAATCGGAGCAGCCGCCGTTTTGGAGACGGCGGCAGAAACTCCACCCATTAGAAAATCAATCATGAATCCAGAAAAACCCTTCTCTTCGGGCGCGGGGGCGCGGATCGGGGATGCTGTATTGCGAGGCAAATGCCCAATACTTCCATTCGTCTGATGGTATTTTGTCACAGAGAAATTGCGCGCATAATGTGCATTGTTAACTACATGACTTCTCATGGCAGAAGAAGATATTTCTTTGAACAACATGGACTGTCCATGGAGCTTCTGGACCACAGATGGAGGCCGCAGCTCATCCATCATTTCAATATGCAAGTCAGAAGTGATCTGTCAGACAACAATTGTGGACATGTTTGGGTTAGATTGAAGTTAATCCATCAAACAAATCTTACATTATAAATATCTCATACTCCCTCCGTTTTTATTTACTCCGCATATTAGCTTTGTAAATTTTGACAAAATTTATAGACAAAAATATTAACATATACAATAACAAATCAATACCATTAAATTCATTACTGAATGCACTTCCACATCATATAGATTTGTTATGGTATTTATATTCTTTTCCATAAACTTGGTCAGACTTTAGGAAGTTTGAGTTCAATCAACTCTAATATGCGGAGTAAATAAAAACGGAGGGAGCACAAAGTTACAAGTAGAACACAAAAATAATTAAAGGGAATTTATGTTCCAACTACATTCCTTTAGGGATGAGTGCAGCGGAAAATATTTCAATTGAATATAATGGCAGTAGGGAGAACAACTACATATTTAACAGCATATTTATGTGCACCCAAATAATCTAAACAAAATAAAAATGTTAGTATTTAAGTAAACATGAAAATACATCGCCAACATTACGGCCAGTAGGAGGTTGATGATATCTAAGCAACACATTGTTACACAAAAGTTTGCACTTAACTACGAACTAAGCTTAGCTCATATGGCTAGGTTCCTTGTCGTGAGACCTGCCCACCCAGATTCAAGTCCTAGACTTGACATGGATGGTTGCATTTTCTTTGATTTCTTTTTTCTAGCCTCTTTGAAACTATTCTTTCAATGGTATAGCATGACATGCCTCTCAAGTCTCAACTACGAGATGTATGCAACAACTTCGTCAATCTAAGATCTGTTGGCTCAATCTCTTCGAGTTACTCATAGGTGTAGGGTTGAGGTAGGGTGTGCGTGCGCGTATGTGAGCATTTGTGTCTGTAGTGTGTTTCTCAAAAACAAAGTTACACTTATCTCCCTAGAGACTGAAGCACTATTTTGGTGTGGTGGTAACTTTATACTGATTTTTATACCGATTAGTATACCAAGTTATTCCTCCCAGCAACCAAACTATAGTATACCAAGTTCTTTATACCGATTTTTCTTTCGCCGACATGGGGGGTCATCAATTTGACAAGTACAAATTGCCAAAGTCATGAATCAAACACAAGACCATGATGTCTAGAGTAGTACTTGCATATAATATATACCCTAAAAAAACATGCATATAAGATAAAAAACTAAATATCAGATTTTTTGAGAAAAATAAATCAAGAAATATGATTTTGCTGAAACATTTTCAATTTTTTTCCCTTAGGCCTCCTTTGGTTTGGAGGAATTTTGTATGAATTTCATAGGGTAGAATTTTTATAGGAAAAATTCCTATAGAGCTCTTTGGTTTGTAGGAATGAAATCCTAGTCCTATGGAGGAAATCTTCCTATCCTCCACATTTCATAGGAAAATAAACATTAGCCTAGATTCAATGGAAAAAATCCTATGATGTGAAACAAAGGACATCTCCTTTCCTATTCCTACTCATAGGGTTTGAGATGCATGCCATCTCATTTCCTATGACTTTTTTGTTCCTATAATTTTCCTACCCTATGAACCAAAGGAGGCCTTAACTTACAGAATCGGATGGAATCCCCATATCTTGAATGAAGCGAAAGAGACATACAAAAATGAAGTTGTATTACTGCTTCTAAGACCCATCTTGGGATATAAGGCATCATTGAGTACTCAACACCCTTTCCATGTGAGGGCACAGGGCAGTCGTGTTGTGTGCCAAAAAGTTAAAATCATGTGTAAAAAAAAATATATTATTCAGCGAACGTTCGCTGGGGTGCATGGCAAAACGAACATTTTTCAACAACTTATGTGTTGGGAGCATGTCAGTTCTTTCCAGCGAACAGGGCAATTTTCTCAGTAAAATCCTCTATTTGCCAGAAATTGTCATGTGCTTTCATAGAATTTGGCATAAAAAACATTCGCAATTGTCATGTCCCACAGCGAACGTTCACTGGCTAGGCCAAATTAACAGTAACAAGCCTGATCACGACAGAACTAAAATTCCCTACTAAGAGCAATTCTGGAGGAACAAAGCGATTCTAAAAACAGAATTATCCACGGACAATGTGTGAAGAACTCTCAAAACAGATATTGCTGATTTCTGTTTGCCTCTGTACTGGACTCCAAGGCTAGCGGCGGCTGATGAAGTGGAAACGAATAGCATCAGACGCACCAAACTAAGATGTAAAGAGCCTAGGAACCATGAGGAGGCAACAAGCATCTACAGCTGCAAACCACGAACTGATAATGTGATTTTCCTTACCTGCAGAGAAGGGTCGACACTTTATCTGCTAGCGCGGTGGACTCTTCGCGAGGAGAGGAATGATCAGAGGTCCAATAGCACCGCTTGTTCCCCTTCTCAAGCCTAGTTTTGCTGCTGATCGCTTGATCTTCTCCTTTTGTTCGCCTGGATATCTGTTCTTTCATCCCCTTCTGTATCAGTCTAAGTGCAGAGAAGCTGACGTTAAAGAAAATAAAGAAGGGTCGAGAGAGAGCTGCCCTGCCCCCGTGTGCTGGTTCAGTTGGCGTCCGATCTTCTTCCAGAGAGGTCCATGGGACACCTTGCGCCGCTTCTCCTGGCACTTTCTAGGATGATTGGTGAGCTGGACCGTTCTATCATTTTCAGCCCTATTTTTCTTATTGAATTCAGAGATCGGAATGACTTGTTGGCTTTGGCAAATTTTTCTTTGACTTGTTTGTTGTCTTTTAGCGATAACAATTAGACAAACTAATTAGACTGCACATTCAGTCGATAACAACAAGGCTTAGCTACCACTGCTGTAACTTTGGTTTCTTTTTTAGTGTCACACCTTCGGTTTGCTTTGGTGCTTATAATTGTCGCTAGGTGATTTATGGATCTGGATATAATATTTATTATTTTTAGTGTTCGTTGTACTATCATACTTAGGGATGAATAAATTGAAAGTTTTCACACAAAAAAATAACATATTCTAAAATTTATAGACTTTTTACAAGTCCAAGACTTTTTTTTATTTTTTACAAAAATTTCAGATCCATTTTCAAAAAAGCCAAGCGGTCAATGGTTGACCAGTCAACAACTGACTGGTCGACAATCAACTGTGAAATAAAAAAAATCATGTGTTTTGAAGAAAAAGTTCACCGACTTTGAAAAAGCATCAAATTTGAAAAAAGTTCATCAATTTTAAAGAAAAGTTCGTCGATTTTAAAAAAAGTTCATCAAATTTGAAAAAAAATCATCAATTTGAAGAAAAAGTTCATCGATTTCAAAAAATCACAATTTTTTTAGAAAAAGCAAGAAGAAAAAAGCCAAAAAATAAACCCAAAAATGTTATGTGAAGAAGGATAAAAGGAAAATCAAATTAAATCGTCTGTGAACTGAATCGCGAACAGGGAAAACCCGGTTTGAGGAGCTTGTGGAAGCTTCCTAAAACCAGGGCTTCGTGAATGTGACAAAAATAAATAAAAGAAAAAAAAAGTAACTTTGCAGTAGTGGTGAGATGGCCTAATGGTTTGTGCGTTCCCTGCGGGGTCTAATCTGGCGCAGCTACTCCCGGCCCGAAAAACCTAAATTACCTGAATTTGATCAAACATAATGCATTTCTAACAATAAATCAATGTATTGGCCTTCCCAAAATCAAAATGAACATCCATCTTCCTACACACATGAATAAGCATGTTCGAAATGAGCTATCGCAATTGAATCAAACAATAGGCTATCAAAATGAGCTACCGCAAGTGCACGTACACCGTCTGCAGGGGCTGCGGGAGATACTCCGCGACCATTCCATCGCTTGGCGCAGCCATCGGCGGCCCGCGATGAAGGGTCGCGGATCCGCAACTTTCCGGCCCGCCGACGCAGGAGGAGGATGGAGAGGCGAGGCCTCGTGCGTGTGGCGGCCTTTCGGCGTGCTCCCGCCGGCTGCTTTCGCCGGAACGACGGGGCGAGAGGGAGATGGAAGGTGGTTGGTGGGGAAAGCGCGGGCTGAAATGTCCCCCACCAACCGCTTCGCTTATATGCAGGGCATCGCAGCGGTGAAACCCTCGTATTCGCGGGTCGGGGTCAAGATTTTGCCGCGCCCCTCAAAATTTTTTGCGGGTCGGCCGCCTTTGCGGAGTATGTTCGGGCGGGATTTTTCGCGCCGACCCGCATTTTGACAGTTATTTTGCGGGTCGGGGCTTTTTGCGGGGTCTGCTAGAGTTGCTCTGAGGCGAGGGTGTGCGCCTGTTTTCTACGGCCGGTTATGTTTTCGCAATAGCTGTTAGAGCAACTCTAGCAGACCCCGCAAAACGTCCGGCCCGCAAAAATTCCGGCGAGTATGCGGGCTAGGCCCAATTTTTCGGCCAGACCAGAGCCCGCATACTTGCCCGGCCCACAAAAACTTTTGCCGCAACCCGCAAACCGCACACACCGAGCAGTATAACTGCGGTTCCGCGACCCTTTTGCGGGTCCAAACCCTATCCCTCCGCCGCCGCAAGCCACACGATTCCCCTCCCCTCCTCCGCAATTTCTCGCCACCGGCGACCACCCGCCCCGCCTCCAGCCGCCATGTGGGGCCGAATGTGGAGCTCCGGACGCGGCTCCGGCAGCAGATCCGGCCGTGAGAGCGACCCGGAGCGTGAGCGGCGCGTCCGGGAGGATGGCGCGAGGAAGCGCGGCGCCCGGAGGTGGACCAACCACGGGATGTCGCCGCCGCCGAGCTTCAGCCGCCGCGAGACGGAGGAGTACGACCGCCGTAGCGCGTCTTTCTCCTCCGCGAGATCTTCCTATGTCGGATCCTCCTCATCCTCCGGCGCGGGCTTCCTCCCCGTGAAGAGGGAGTGGTCGGACGACGATGACGAGGAGGAGGAGGAGCCGCCGGCGCCGTTCGCCTTCGTCCCGGTGAAGGAGGAGCCCAAGGAGCCCGCTCCGCTCGGCCGTCGCGGAGTCGTCGGGCCCGAAGACTACGTCGCGGACGTCGACACCGTCGCCGTCGCCATC